CCAAATGAGCTACAGTCTAAACTCCCTTAAGGGGGGTTATATAGGGGATTCTATAGGGGACTACTATAGGGGTTGTTAAGGGGGATACTAGGAGTTTAGACTATAGCTCAAATGGCATTAAAAAAAGGTTCCCCCTCACATGCGCAAAATTATTGTATCGTTCTTGTAGGATTTTGAAGAGGGGACCCCCAAATATCTCCTGGCTTTATTCTTGCAGGTGCTGTAGCATCAATGGTAGTTTCCCAAAAGGGGGACCCCAATATTATAGACCCCAAATATATTGTAATCCTTATTATGGGGACCCCTAAAATGGTAGGGTCCCTAAACCCTAAAAACCCGAAGCCTCTAAATCTTGCAGGTGCTGCAGCATCAAGTGCTCCCGCGTCAGCCCGGGGAAGGTCGCCAGGGGCCATGCCTGCGGCTCCTGCACTTTGGCGTCACGGGTTTAGGGTTTAAACCCTAAACCCTAAACCCTAAACCCTAAAACCCTAAACCCTAAACCCTAAAACCCTAAAACCCTAAACCCAAAACAGGGTTTTGGGTTTAGGGTTTAGGCGGCGCAGCCTTGTTTGGAGAACTGCGAGTGAGTAGTATTTCATTTGGGGATACTATGGTACCCAGTATAGAGTAAGATTCTACCCTCCTTCTAGGGTATAGTATTTATACAAGGAATATAATCTTACTAGGTGTAACCACCCAAAAAAAACCGCTACTCAAGTAGGGTTTAGGGCTTAGGGTTTCGGGTTCAGGGTTTTGGCTTAGGTTCTAAAGCCATTAAGGGGTTTAGGGTTTCCCAAAATTAGGGGTATTACACCCAATAATGGAGAATCAAATGGGAAAGAACATGGAACATTCCATGGAAACTGGAATTTTATAGGGGTCGAACTGCAAGTAATGTTAACAATAGTGATATTGGTAATAGGAGTAATAGTAATAGTAATAGTAATAGTAATAGTATCAGTATCAGTATCAGTAATGGTAACAGTAATAGTAATGGTAATAGTAATAGAATAGTAACAGTAGTAATGTTCTCATTACAGTCGGGAATGCATAGCATCCTCCGAAATGCAGGTATAAGCGTTCGATGTTGGAGTTGCTTTGTCCGAAGGAGTTGCATTAGAGTTGCCTAAGTCCTATTTTTAAAGCACACGCGTTTCTTGCTGAGAAGTTGCTGCTGCAGCTTGTTGTGCTTATAAATGACGTACTCAGTAGCGTTACGGAATTCAAGGCGAACCCGCTACTGCAGTCAACTGGCTGACTAAGAAAAGCGGGCCGAAATGGGTTCACACCTGGATGGGGTGGAGGTTGCTCCAAACCCCCATAGAAGATCATGGGACATGAATGTCCGATTCGGCAAAACTGGATTTGCAAGGGAAGCTCGCTCAGGTAGTGGCTCACTATCCACAGTATTGTGTGCCGCCTGCCTGCAGTTATCCTCAGGCGTTGCTTTGCACGCAGGGGTCGTCTGGCGTAGGAAGACTTCTCAGCCCAGCAGGTAGTGCAGCAGTGACAGTTATGTCCTGTTAGCGGTGGTTGGAGAGATTTGGAGAGCTTGGCTTGACAAGTGATTTACGTTTTCATGTCTAGTATTGGTTTGTTGGCGGTTGCTTCTACCAGCGCCTGCGAATTGCTCCCAATGCTTCGCTCCAAGCAGCAGCAGCGATCCTGGTGATAACATTGCGGCCAGAGAGCGCGAGTTGCGATAGCTTTTGTTTTGTGTTGTTAATGTTTTGACTGTGCAATCAGGGTAAAAGACGTTTCATGGATATTGGTGGCTTTGCCTTGCCACAGGAGCTGTTCCTGAATGAGTAGTTGTCGAAATTGAGTCAGACTTTTTCGATGCGTGATGCATTCCTTCCTGGTGCCTGCTAAACAATACCTGGGTTGCTGTTAAGGAACTTAGATTAAGTTACTATATTGGGGAAACCCTATTACTTACTATATACACCCATTATGGTAACTTAATTTAAGTTCCTTAGCAGCAACCCAGATACAGGCGGCAGGGTGCCAGCTGCGCGGTGCGGTCGCCCTCGCCAACAGCAATCAGTGCCACCATGCGGGCTGGCTCGCCAGTCATTGTTCGCCACTGGATTTGCAATATTTGAGTAAAGTGCTGTGGACCAGATTGTACCTTGTAGACCTGGGGCGGCGCCGAAGATAAGCGCTCTTGGAGGTTATCAGCTGCCGGTTCGGGCTCCAGCGGTGGGCACCCAGTGGCTCAGCTGGACCTGGAGACCATTGCAGGAGGCATTGAACGTAGGTGCTTCTGACCAATTCCTGCTTTTTCAAAGTGCGGAGAGATGCAAAAGCTCAGAAGCATGTGGTTGGAACTGCTTGCGTTGATAGTGCTAGTCTGAGTACTGAAGAACGAATCTAGTGTTAACCGGACGCTTCAAGAGCAAGGATGCTTCCTGCCGCTGCTTAGGATTCATCAGGCGCTGTCCGTCCAGGCCCCGATTGTGGGGCCCTGTCAAAGACTTCGTCATCAAACGTGAGAGCTGGGTAGCCCAAAAGGTCCAGGTATCTACATGACATGCATTTAGACCCAGGCACTAAGCCTGAGGCCTACAAAGTAATTACCACATGGTAAGGCTAAACCCTAAACCCCAAACCCCACACCCTAAACCCTGAACCCTAAACCCTACATATAGGTACCTGGGCTTTTTGGGCGATTAGCGCTGAGCCCGCAGAGTTCAGCCTTAGAGGGGACCGGCAAGGAGACTCCACATAGTGAAAGAGTTCACGGCCACAGAGCCTGTCATATAGTAACTTAATTTAAGTACCTTAAGCCCCTATATTC